TGTTTAATGGTATTATTGAAACGCTGAATTTAAGAGAGCTGGAGTTGACAGGTAGAAAATACACGTGGGCAAACTATGCAGAGGTTCCAACATATGAAAAGTTGGACCGTATCTTAGTAACAACAGACTGGGAACAAAAATTTCCATTAGCTTCTATCCGGACACTTACCCGAGAGATTTCAGATTATACACCTCTTTTACTAGATAGTGGTGAACCATCTCATAGAGGCAATATTATGAATTTTAAGTTCGAACTAGGGTGGCTAACAAGAGATGGTTTCTTTGGCCTGGTCAAAGAGGTGTGGGAATCTGATAATAGGGGTCGGTCACCCATGGAGAAATGGTAAAACAAAATTAGAAGGTTGCGACGTTTTCTGAGAGGTTGGGCTAGGAACTTGTCTTCACAAAATAAGAAACATAAATCTAACCTGTTGACTAAGATAGATGACCTAGACAGAAAGGCAGAGACAATTTTGTTTTCACCTCAAGAGGTGGAACTTAGACATCATCTCAAAGGGCAATTAACTAAGTTGTTGAGAGAGGAGGAGATTTATTGGCTCCAACGATCAAAAGCAACAAAGTTATTGTAAGGAGATGATAATACTAAGTACCTTCATCTAGTGGCAAATGGGAGACACAAGAAAACAAAAATTGTCCAGCTAGAACAAGAAGAAGGAACGATTGTTGGGGATAGGAATTTGAAAAATTATATAACTGAGTACTATAAAGGACTGTTTGGACCTCATACACCGAATTCGTTCTCAATGGACGAGACTTTGAGGCATGACATACCTCAAGTGTCGAAGGACGAGAATGAGGTTTTGACGGCTCCATTCAGCGAGGAGGAGGAGGTTAAAATGGCAGTTTTTGATATGGAACATAACAAAGCACCCGGTCCAGATGGTTTCCCCGCAGAATTTTACCAATTCTTTTGGGAGGTTGTAAAGCCGGATTTGATGAATCATTTTTATGAATTCCATGCTGGGAGACTGCCTATCCACAGCCTAAATTTTGGGCTTAAAACTAGACTTCGAAAATGCTTATGACAAATTAAAGTGGCCTTTTATATAACAGGTCCTCAGAATAAAAGGATTCTCACCAACTCGGTGTGAATGGATTTCAAGAGCCATGTCTAGAGGGAGTGTTGTAGTAAAGGTCAATGATAATGTAGGCCACAATTTCTAAACTAGGAAAGGAGTGCGGCAGGGGGATCCGTTATCTCCAATTCTGTTTAATATAGTGGTTGATATGCTGGCTATCCTTATTTCAGGAGCTAAAGAGGTCCATCAAATCCAAGGGGTTGTTCCGCATTTGATAGATGAGGGACTTTCAATCCTTTAGTATACAGATGACACTGTCATCTTTATGGACAATGATCTAGAGAAGACAAAAAACATAAAGCTTTTACTTTGTGTTTTTGAACAGCTATCAGGACTCAAGACCAATTTCCATAAGAGCGAATTGTTTTTGTTACGGAGCAGCCAAAGCCAACCAAAACGAATATGCACAAATTTTTTGGGTGTAATTTGGGGTCATTTCCTTTTAGGTATATGGGAATTCCTACCCATCATAGAAAGCTCATGAATAAGGACTGGAAGCATGTTGAAGAACGTTTCAAAAGAGGCTGAATTGTTGGAGAAGTAAAATATTGTCGGTAGGAGGGAGGTTTGTTCTGATTAACTCCGTCTTGAGTAGCCTCCTCATGTTCATGCTTTCTTTGTTTGAAATACCTAGAGGGGTTTTGAAGAAGTTGGACTATTTTAGGTCACGGTTTTTTTGGCAGAACGATGAACATAAGAAAAAAATATAGATTGACTAAGTGAGAGGTAGTATGTACGCCAAAAGATCAAGGAGGGTTGGAAGTCCTAAACTTAGATGTTCATAACGAATGTCTCCTAAGCAAATAGTTGTTTAGGTTACTGAATGAAGATGGGGTCTGACAACAATTACTTAGGAATAAGTATTTAAGAGACAAAACTTTGACACAGGTTCAATACTTGCCTGAGGACTCCCAGTTTTGGGATGGTCTAATGAAGGTCAAGGAGGAGTTCCTCTCGTTGGGCAAGTTTGATCTAGGTGACGGGTCTCAAGTGCGATTTTGGGAGGACTCATGGATAAGACCATGTCCTTTAAAATCTCTCTTTCCCGCATTATATAATATTGTTAAGAGAAAAGGCGCATATGTAAGAACGGTGTTGTCTATGACGCCGTTAAATTTGGCTTTCAGGAGATCTATGGTAGGTGTTAATTTACAAGCGTGGCACGATGTGGTTGCTATGGTTGCAGATGTATAGTTAACAAACCAGAGGAATCGTTTTGTGTGGGGGCTACATCAGAATGGATTGTTTTCAGTCAAATCCATGTACAGAGCCTTATTAGGAGTTGAAGCTATACCATATAACACATTTACATAGAAACTGAAACTACCTCTCAAAATCAAAGTATTTTTGTGGTATTTGTATAAGGGAGTAGTCTTAACAAAGGACAATTTAGCAAGACGGCAGTGGCAAGGGGATATAAAGTGTTGTTTCTGTTCTTCTGACGAGTCTATACAACATCTATTCTTTAACTGTCATTTTGCTAGATTCGTGTGGCGAACTGTTCATATTTCCTTTAATTTAATTCCTCCAACTAGCGTTCATAATTTGTTTACAGGCTGGTTATACGGGATAAATAGAAAACTAAAATCTAAGATTCTTATGGGCGCAAGTGCAATTTGTTGGGCGATATGGTTAACCTGGAGTGATATAATTTTTGACAAGGCCGCAACACCATCTTATTTGCAGGTTATCTTCAGGGGGGGCCTATTGGACCAGGTCCTGGTCTCTATTACAGAAGGAGGATGATCGTCAAATGATGAAGATGGGATGCAGGAATATTGAGACAACCGTGATTGAGGTGTTTGCAAGACACGGTTGGAGATTTAGTAATAGAATTGCTATTTAGATGTTGAGTTTGCAAACCTTTCTTTTATTCAATTTGGGTCAAAACTTTGTGTTTGAGATTGCGTGGACCGCAGTGCTTGTGTTGTAATAAGAAACAACTATATACATTGGTCGATGCAGAAGCTGGAATATTAATATATTCTCTTTTTAAAAAAAACTACTAGGCATCGTCGTTTCATCTATTATCATTATTATTATTATTATTATTGTACAACTGCATGCTATATATATATATATGATTTATTTGCTCAATCTAGTGCTAATTAAGCACACATGCATATATATTCATGCTTTTTGTAATTAATTAATTGTAGGATAGCCTTGTCCAGTGACAAGTACCAAATGATGAAATCTCCGGCAGCAGGTGGCAAACTTGGTGAGGGTGCTACCTTTTATTTGGGAAAAATCAGAGAAAGGGGTATACTCTACGTTACTTTATTGGGTCGACTGCGGTCGCTGCCCCCAGTTTCGAGTCTGGTTCCTCAAGGAGGAGGAAGAAGAAGAAAATGATCACATTCACATGGAGTGGGTGTTGAAGACTAACATCAGCCTTCCACCGCTGCTTGCAAATAGACTTCCTCTTCTTCACAGCGGCTTTGCTGATGATGAATTGAGGGTCATCCGTGACTATAATAACAAGGAGGAAGTACCACCTGCTGCTGCACATGGCGACGACGAGTTTGCTGCTGCTGCTGATGATTGGGACTTTGACAATGCTGACACTGTCCTCGATGAAGCCAAAGATAATAAGCTCACTGAAGCAGACGGGCACTACCCTGTTGATTTCCTCGGATTTCATCCTTACAAAGAGATTGTCTTCTTTTGCGTACCATCTGGGACAATATCTTATAATTTGAATACCTCAAAGTTTCAACAGTTGGGCGGACGTATACATATACCAGTGGGCATGAGAACCTGTTTCCCATACACGCCATGCTGGATACGGGGATTATTTGAAAACAGTTGATATAAGTGGCCTGTATCAAATATATTTAGACTCTGTTTATTTGGAGCTAATGTAAGGGATGTTGACCCCCCGGCACTTGCTTATAAGTATGCATGTAATAATCAGAGTGCACATACATCTTCAACTTTATTTTGTCTAATAAATTATCTTTTGGTCATGCATATTTGCCTTTATTTTTATTTATTTTTTGGCAGAAAATAAATCTCTCTAGTTCACTGCGTGCATCTCGCACAAAGTTAAAGGCGCACTTAAGTAGCTACGAGCTGCACACCTTTTTAAAAATAAAAAAACGGTGGACTATTATTTTAGTTACTAATTGAATGCACGTTGTTTCAATTCAATCGAAAATAGAGTGGAGTATAACACAGTACCAAATAGTAATTGATTTTATAGGGTCGGATCCACATATCTGGCCAGCCAACAGAGTTCCTAGGCTCAGCTCGGCCCTTGGTGCTCGTCTTCCCAGCCCCTTCAATTTAATTCGTGCTATATATCAGCTAGCATCAGCAATGAATGATTAACGATGAAGACAAGTGTGTTTTGCCCTTGCTTCCTACGGAGTACAGTTCTACAAGCGCACCCTAATATATGCATTACACAATACAGTTGGACTGGATGAAGCATGCATCTGAGTAAGCCAATGACAAGGAAACACGCTGTTGGACTGGCAGCGCATGAGCGATAGATGCACTGAAACGGCGTGCCAATCTTATCGGATCAAGTCCACCCATAGTTCAACAAACTTTAATACTTGATTTGTTTGTTCGTTACAAGACAACACATACATAACCAATGTACCATTTCTCTAGTATAACAGCAATCCAAGCATCGTACCACCGCAAATGAGTGGTATACAAATTACACGATACAGTGTCAGTCAAAGCAACCAGCTCCAAAGCCTTGTTGCTTGTCACTCGGCGCCATCCCCTGAATGCCTGCAATGGCACACCATACGTTCACACGGTGTTCCCGGACAAAAGAAATTGCATTGGACACACATTATGATGGAGGGGCGATTAATCAATCGATCCCCAGCTACCTCCAAGATGTTGGCAGATTCCGAGATTTCCGGTCTAACTGGACACTTTCTAGCGCAGCCGATGCCCGCAGCACCTCTTCAGATATATCATCGGCATCGTATCTCCAGTTGTACTCATCTTTCCTTGTGTTATTGGAAGCTGAAGATCCCCCTCTGCGATCTGAAAGTACACGTACCAAGTGGACATTGTTTCAGAATTCGGAACAACACAGCTACGTACCATAAACTGAAACGATTACATAGCAGTGCACAAACCTGATGCCTGCAACGAAGAGATTGGCCTGGCAATTTCAAAGTACTATATGTTACACTCACATCCAAATATCTAATGCCAAAAACAAATAGCTGTGCATATTTATAACGGCACAGCAGTATGGCATCACCCTTACCTCCCCATAGGAGGCAGGCTCCCAACTGACGCTGATGGTGGCCTCCTCATGCTCCGGTGTTCAACATTTAGCGATGGATCAGACTCTGAACTCATCATCCTCCTGCCGCCCATCCTTGTTTGAGACAAATTCTGCCCAACACAACATATTTAGATGACCAAAGCATGCTGTAGAAAACCAAAACTTTTAAGCTAGAGCATATTGACTATATTTGGAGGTTAATAATAAATAAACTTGTTATTAATAAAGTATAAGGACAGTGAAAACCAAGCTGGGGAAAAAAATCAAATTTTGTGTGTGCAGTGAACTAAAGGTCATAGGCAGAAAGCAGCATAAATGCAGCTCATACCCCAAGCACCACAGACCATCAAAAGGAGACCTTGAGTACAGGCCTTGCATCGATAAGTTGAGATTGGAAAATTATATGTAAGCAGATCTCAGTACAATGATAATGACAATGCATTGTAAATATAAATCCCATGCATGCAGTGCAAGACAACTGACCAAACTCAGAAAAGAGTATATCAATTTTTATCCATTCTGGTTATTCTTAGAATCATTCTATACATTCTGACAATGATTGGGTCTTGATAAACCTATCTCCTTAAGCTTCCAGAATAAGAACACCTACTTTTTGTTCTAAGGCAATACCTTGATGAGTATTGTAGTTGTGGCAAACAATCTAATTTTTTGGACAGTTTGATTAAGCAAGACACCAATAGTATGAAGGATTATTGCTCACAACTCAATATACTACCTTTTCTACATAGCGAACATAATGCATAAGAGGATTCCATACTACTGTAACAAATAGCCTGGCTAAAACAGGCTAAAATGAATGTGGGTACAAATAGTGGTGTAGTGCCTAAAACAGCTATAGCTGGCTATAGCGGCAGCTACTGCCAGAGATTTGTTACCTTGATCCATACAGGACTACACAGTTTTCTGGGGAAAAAAGAATTGGCTACATTACCACAAAAGCTTTCCCCCTTTTTTGTCTTTACTGGGAAACATAAAGAAACAAAAGGATGATTTTTGCTTCTGCTAATGATCACGCGAGAGATAAACCTCATATTTCAGATAACCTTCGAGAACATCTAAAAGCATTGGACCACTTTCAGCACTCCTGCTCCCTTCAGCTCCACTTTTGTTAGAAAAGTCTTTCAGTTCATTCTTCCAGAAGTCCTTGGGCTGATTTACAAACAAAACCGGGAAACATTAATGGATGTTGATTCCCGAAATGCAAAAACGAAATATCAGGAACGGTCACCACTTACCAGGTTACACTCTGGCAAGTAAACTTTCATTGTGTGACTTAGTTGCGCCCACTCCAAGTATTCGCATACAAGTGCAGTTAGTAACCTACCTGCAAGCAACAGAATTCCTAGAATGTAAAACATTCCATGTTATGTGCAGCTTGCAAAACACATGGCTAAACTTAGTACTGAAAATCATTTTAAGGCCAGCACAACAACCTTAAACATTTGAGATGTCCTTGATGGGACTTAAAAACAACAAAATACATTATTGAAATGCTTCTTTGAATTATCACCAGTGCAGAAGCATTCAAATCCAAAGACTCACCCTAGTCATCAATCAGGAGAAAAAAAATGTGTATCTTTCAGGTTTAGTCCTAAATCGCTTGCTAAAAAATGGCATAATTTCCAGCAGGGAAAAGATTATCATGCAGCAGAATATCAACCTTTGTCCTTCTCGAATATTTCAGAACAGTAGTATAAATTTCTACAGGTCAGTATATGAGAGAAAGGGTGTATATGCGTAGCAGCATTAGAGACAAGCTTCTCTTGATTTCTTTTGTTTTGATAATGCATCAGAGACAAGCTTTGGCTTCTGCAGACATATTTGAAACAACTGATTAGACAGCACATTCAAAGGGCAAGGCAAACCTGAAGGTGAAGCATGCAGTTGCTTAGCTCGGTCATTACAGCTACCAAGCAAAGCAGGATTCCCGCCATCATCATTCTCCACCACCCGATCCTCCTCTTCAATGGCTTCAAACACGCTTGCTCTTAGCTCAGCCTAGTCATGCAGCCAGAAACATCATCAGGAAAGGTGGCGGAAGTATGTGCATTCAATGGACCATAGCATGCTTTCAACAGATAAAAAGATAGAAACCCAAGCTAACTGTATTTATCTATGTTACACACAAATAGATTCTTTTGTCCACCCCCCTCCCTGGCATCATACCATTAGAGTCGAAAACTCAAAAGAGCACTGAGAAGTTTAGGTGCAATAGTCACAACACAACACGAAAAAAAAAAAGATTTCCAGTAACACAGACGCGTTTCCTCCTAAGGACTGTGCCAAGAATGGGCACGCCAACTGGTAATGACAACTAGACCAACAAAATAATACAAGGTGAGTCTTTTCTTCAGCAATGTGCGAGCAACCTCATTGCTCCGAACGAGTTTTACCAAAATGAGCACACGAATTGGTAATGGCAACTAGAACAACAAAAATGGACGTGGTGAAAAAAACTTTTCTGGAGCAATGCGTGAGCATTCTTTCATATTCCTACACAAGAACCTACCCAACAGCGCCCAGGCGCTCAGAATGTGCACATTAGAAATTGAAAAAAAAAATCCGCGGATTTGGGAAGGAAATTGGCAAATTGCAGAAGCGGAGGTGTAGATCCCCAGACCGGAGGGGGAGGAAAATCTAGATCCGTGGGGCGTGGTGGAGGAACCGGATCAATGGAGGGGTTGGGGAAATGAAGAAGTGGGAAGTACGAACCCTAATCTTGGCGAGGACACCCTTCTTCTCGAGGGTGCGGGTGACGAGCGTCTTGAGCTCCATCATTTCCCGGGCGTAATCGTCCATCCCCGCCTGAAATGAAGTCTAGGGATGGCGAGTGGGAGCACGGAGGAACGGAGGGAGCAGGAGCAGGCAGTTCTCCTCAAACAGAGAGAGAGACAGGAGAGGGAGATCGAAGATGAACACGACAACGCCAGAGGTTGGGGAACGTCGTAGGCTAAAGGTTGACTGACAGGTGGGCCCAATAATTTTAGCTTTTTTATTTCGTTATTATTATACTTATCAGTTATATAAACAAAAAGAATTCACCAATTTTTTTAAAAAAGGTATGAGTCTATTTGTCCAATTTACAACTTCAACTTTTTAATTAATTAAAATAGTTTAATTATATACACCGTTTGCATTTTATTATATAGCCTACTAGAACATTTATTGTTCAAATGGTATCCATAAATTATGGATGATTTCAAAAACATAAATCAAATCTAACGAGTTATGATCTACACAACAAAAACATTTTTTTATGAAAAATATAAAGGCACTTTAGATATTGATACAAACGAATTCGCATTAACCATTTGCCTACAAAATAACGAACATAGCATTTTCTCAAAAAAAAAAACTTTACGCAAAGTTCATGTGTACAACCGCCTACCATCACCAAGTGAACATATCACTTTAGATATTAGCATGTTCGCTTGTTGGTTTCAGCCAGAGCTTATCAGCCAGCCAACAGTGTTTTCCTTTCACAATAATCCAGTACCAGCCGGGCTTATCAGCCCAAAAACCAACCGACAAACAGGCCGATTGATACAAACACTCATGTTGAACATTTATTGCAAAATGAACTCACACTTAAGTGTAGTTATAAGCCATTAGTTTCCTAATTCCACCAAAGACAGTTGTCTTTATTTTATTTACAACTCCAAGTCACTCTGGCACTTTGACATAACCAACTATAGGATTCATCATTCATATAGGTCAATGCCAATTGCATGCTCTTTGATCTCCTAGCCTACCCTTATTTCAGAATATGATAATTTGCTTTGGTTGGCTTCCATGTCTACCTAGGGTCTTCTCCAGTCGAGCTAAACTCATTGAAAGAAATCAACTCCATCTTGTAAACAAATCAATATATTTCCAAGGACTCACTTTTTTTTCTATTTACGGGCACGACAATGTCTAAATGAGAGCATGCCAACAAGATTTAATAGCAAACTAACAACAGAATGACATTACATACTCATATTTGAGTTTGCCTTCATGCATTAGGTCCAAGAGGTAGTCTATCATTGTTATGTAGTCTCCTGTTTTATCTGAGTTCACCTACTTCTGGAGCTAGAACCCTCGTAGGGAAAGATCCTTTGAAAACATATATTATATTGTGTTAAGGAATTTTTAGATATAAACAATATCATATAACACAACCGAAACTCACTATCCCATGAATACAACATGAAACCATCCATAAAATAGTTTGTTTGATGGTTTTTTCTCCCATTACAGCGCAAGCGCATGCATGTTTGCTAGAGAGAGAAAGAGAAAGAGAGATATTTTAGACCCACGTGCATATTGCAATCGTAGAAATAATATACACACACAATCTTATTTTCATTGCACCCGCATGCATAAAGATGGATTGAGATTATTAATTAGTCCTTAACATACATTATTGTTCTTATCTACATCACATTCATGCATAGACACACATGCATCTTCATCATCTAATATTTTATTTTTTGCTTCCTTTGAGCAAATTAGCATGTAGCTTCATGGATCAATGCATGTTTAGAACATATCGGTGTGAGCTGCATCAGGAGGAGGCAGTGTCTCTCCTGTGGCCTCCAATAATATATCTTGCAGGGGAGCCTCTAATTCTGGGGGTGTGGCGGCACGAACTAGAGCCCAGTTTATGCCACGGAAGAATGGGTGTTGTTTGATCTCCATGGCGCCCTTGTAGGAACCTAGCCTATTTGCAGGGTCCCGGTGTAGCAATCGGTATATCAACCTTCTTGCCGCAAGGCTCACCTACAATTAACATATATACATCACAAACACTTGCTGCAAGGCTCACCTACTAGAATAAATGCTTTTATTATTACCTGTATGCTCTCAGGAAATCTGATATCCTTGTGCAGAATATTAGCAAAGGTCCTTTGTCTTGCCTTTCCTCTAAACGGTGTATAACCATACAACATCTCATATAGAAGAATTCCTAATCCAACAAATAGGGAGAATACTCATTATTATATAGTAGCATGTATTATACATGTTTCCTTTAGCACAAGATTAGTTACCTAGCGCCCACCAATCTACAACACTTGTATGGCCGGCTCCGGTAATAATCTCCTACAACATGCATACAAGGATTGATGCCACAAATGGTGATGGCTATCACACATGTCAAATAGAGACAAGAAATGAAAATGTTGGGAAAATCACATAAATAAAGCGAAGTAACAACATATATATATATATATACATACTGGTGCAATGTACTCCTCTGTACCAACAAAAGAATTTGATGCTCGCATTGGTTCAGCAAAGAATATGGGATTGCTCCTGCTCTTCCTCCTCTTTTTCTTCTTATCATCTTCTGGAAGAAACACCTATCAAACAACAAGAATAATCATGAAGTGCAACTAAGAAAATAGACTAACGAGTTAAAATAATAGTCATGAAATTGTCTAGTAAGGTTATTAATGAAGTGACATTACTTGTGGTCGGCAGGATGTCAAGCAAGACAAATCAAAGTCTGTCAGGGAAATGTGCCCATCTCTTTGAAGTAAAATGTTCTCTGGCTTTAAGTCTCTGTAGATTATACCTAAGAAAAAAAGAATAGGGGAGCAAATGCTTAGAAATAGTAAACATCTCAAGTTTCTCTAGTAAAATGTGATGAATAAGTGCAAGGAACCCTTCCCCTTTGTCTTCTAAGGAAGCCTAGCACTTTCATGAATGCTTAAATTCTTACCTAAAACTAGCCCTAGGTATAATTAATCGAAGAACGAAGACCGAACCGAACTAACTGAGACCGAAATTTTTAGTCACTAGTTCGGTCACGAGTCCATACTACCTAAACTTTTTACGGTTAGTTCGGTTACGTGCCTCAGGTAACCGAACTAACCGAACATTTGCTTGAGTTATGTTGACATAATGTGTACTTTAGACTATTGTTAGTAATATAATATTTATTCTAATAGGTTTATATCAACCATCACTCTTATCACTTTGTTCAATCTATAAGCCGTGTTATTATTTTTGTCTTGAAATAGAAAAAAATATTGCTAAAATTTGCTACAAATTATGCTATTTAGTAGCTATTTTGTCTAGTCCGGTTAGTTCGGTCATGACCGAGACCGAACCAAACTAACCTAGACTGAACTTGCTCGGTCCTGAGTTCTAGAACTAACCGATCGATCTTCGTTTTTAGATGACCGAACTTTTGAAAAGACCAAGGAACCAATCAGTTCGGTTCGGTCAGACCGAACGCCCAGGCCTACCTAAAACAATCATTTGAGATGTTGGCAAATAATTACTATTGGTCAAGCAAAACAATATGGTTATTGAATATTGGGTTGTGTTTGACTATCCACTACATGCATGGTACCCACCACCACCAAAGAGAATTTCATTTATATAATTAGTATGGCATATATGACTACCTTGGCAATGTAGGTATTCAAGTGCCGTGACCACTTCTGCAGCATAGAACCTGCAATAATCATGGACAATTACATCAACAATACTTCTTGGGTTCTTTATCCAACTACCAATTATATTATGTAACAACAAACAAATTAAGGATCAGAGTAGCATATCAATGACAATGGAGAAGCATAAAGAGTTTTCACTAAATCTAAGCAAAAGAAACAATTTCAATGTCAATACCCACCTAACCGCGTCTTCCTTCAGTACCTTCATAGGTTGTCTATCGAGGAGCATAAAGAGTTCCCCGCCAGCATAATAGTCGGTAATAAGACATACATGTGTATTTGTCTGCAACATATATATGACATTGAGATGATAGTCATCCATAAAAGTATAATAAAATCAAGGAGAACAAACATTAACAACCATGACACCATATTAATATATTCCACAGATTCATTATGCAACAAACCTGAAATGATGCATACAATGTCGGAAGGAATGGGTGGTCCAACATATCCAAGATTTGTCGTTCAGCGGTAGCTCTATGGACCTAGAGGTATTATAGACAAATCGGATGAGAAAGAAACAATTAAAGGTGGAAGTAACTAAAATGTCATGTGTGATGAAACCTGTTACTCATACCTTGTTTCGGTTAAGCATGACACTTTTATCCATAGCTTTCATGGCAAAGTATTCACCTGTGCCAAGCAACTCCACCAAGTGGACACTACAATTCAACAACAACTCACATGTTTACTATTTAAAACATATATAGGAAATGAAAACTAGAAAGGAGTATGTCTACTGGATTCATGCAAACTTCGTCATTACTATACTTGAAACTATAATAGAGAAGTACTTACCTGCCAGTGTCACCAGATCCTAAGGGTCTTACTGGTCTAAAATGTTTCAAATCGATGCTTTCACCATTCTCAAGAACCTACAAGAAAAAATAGCATGAACCATCTAGGAGATTTCTAAAAAAATGTCATTTGTGCTTGTTTCCAGTGGTTTCCAAATTAGGCATATAATATTGCAGAGACTACCTAATTCTATGGAAGAATGCATGCCAATTGCTTTCTCAAGTGTTTCATGATTGTTCCCTTTCATCTAGTAGGCTCATAAATTGCATGTAAGTATCTATGTTGTGAACTATGTATAACATACCTTTTGGATGGCTCTCCATGATGCGGTATCCTTCATATGTGGCTTTGGCAAGACTAGTTTTGAGTGATTAGCCCATAGATCCTCTGGTCTCTGAATATAACCACAAATTTCTTCTTAGTAATACTTAATTTCATATTATATAAAATTAATATTTTTTTAGACGAACCAAATTAGCATCCGGAAGTTCCTTTGCAGCCTCATCAATATTGTCCGCAGTTTTCTTAACCTGGTACATGAATAATTCAAGTTAATGCATAAGACAACTATGTTTTCCAACAAGGAATTTAGAAAAGTAAGGTACATAAAATTTAGTTGTCAAAATCACTTTATGCAAACTAAAACACAAAAGAAGTCAATTAAGGAGGGAATTCATCAGAGCACTAAAGAACTGACCTTAAAGATGCCATCTATGGAACTTTACCACTAGTCTATGAGTCCAGTGTTGATCATTAGGGTTTAAGAAATATAAATCTTTAATAACGCTAGATGATGCTAAATGCTAATAAACATTGCAAGTACTACACTATGGATGGCTTGCATTTATAACAGAGCAGTCACGATAAAGTTGTTTGGCATTGTATTCTCAATTTTTTTTCCAGATATTTGTGATAGCAAGCCCATATATGCTAGTCACCATTAAGGTAGAAACAAACCAGCATGGCACCATCTTTTGCAGCAGCATCTCGAACACGCTCAGTTCCATCCAACTGAACCCCAATGAAGTATTGAACATCACCCTAATCAACCATCAAATTGGATGCTTCTCAAATCACATGAAATAGTTCCAAACCAAATATCTAGGTAAAAAGTTTCATATCTCTTATTACGGTACCTTCTGATCACGCATAGGTTGCAAGTGAAAGAGGTTCCAGAATTTTTTACCTGCTCAAAACCACAAGAAATTTTAGTTTGATTCATTACTATAGGAAAAAAACATTTGCACATTATTAGCCTCTATATGCCTGCAGTACTAATGCAGTAACAGAACACTAGAGTGATGTACTATTATAAATGTTTGGGGTATAGAAATTGCATCATGATCTTACAAGAACATGGAAGCATGTGAAGAGTATGTACCACTCTTTGTATAATTTATCAGCTGAATGGTAACTTCTCTTTGGTTATCTATGGCATCTCTTATCTTCTTTACTGTCCCACGGTCAGTTTCAGGCCCTTGAAGAAACCTACAAGGGAAGCATAAATAAGTGAAGGGATTCATTAAATCATTAATCACTGTAATATGTAGTTTATGAACAGTTGAAAGCAATGAATTTAGGTAATATTTAATGTCATAATTTACCTGCAATTTCTTCCCAATATTTCTTCGCGTGAATACTCTGTTAGTCGTAAAAAGCTATCCGATGCAAAAATCTGTGACATTCACCCGAAAATATAATGACGTAGTTCAATGGAAGGTTGATATCTATGTTGATAGAAAGAAAAGAACAATGATGTTAAAGGTAGAAGATATATGAGTTTTTGTCTTACAATTGGATTATCCGGTAACCTCGGGTCAGTGATGACAAAATTCTTTTCAATACGTTCAAGCGTAGTAGCCAAATCTATACCCCTTCTCATTTCTTTCCTCCTAAAATCATCATCAAAGCTTTCTGGTCTCTCATCATCGCTATCAAGTAGCGTATCTTCCCTTGGTTTTAGAATGTTCTTCTCCACATTTCCATGACCCATACCAATAAGACTGCACAAACGAATTAAATGTGAGAACAAATGCAAAGATAATAGAGACTCTACAAGGAAACTTTGAAATAAAGCAAATGCTATGATTATATCATGTGGTTTATTATCATACCCCATAAAGGAACGCAAACCAGATTTCCTGGTCTTATTCCCTCCTTCAGGCACTTCACTAATTTTTTGTAGAGAGTTTCTCGTTCCACTCCGTGAGTTACGGCGGGATCCACTTTCGGAGCTTCTCTTGCCGGCTACTTCATCACCTGAAAGCACATCTCCTGATTCCTGTGATTTCCTTTTTAAGGTATTGTTTCTTGATTCTGACAATGACCGTGGATCCTTCAGGGCAAGTAGAAGCTCCGAGACTGAGCTACGGGCATGATCCTTCTGTCTTGCTGCAAAGAATATTATTGTTTTCACAGTCGTGCAAGGTAAAACCTTTCTTTTTTGAAAAGTAAGCAAGACTACTAGTAGTAATAGTACCATCATATTTGATGAGTGACTCTGGCAATCCATTTGGGCGAAGAGCTGTATCCTTGCTACCTTCTGTGTACTTACTCACTTCCACTTGCATCCTGTGACACATTGCACACCAAGGTTTGTAATAATAATAACTATAGTGCTGAACAAAATTATAAAGTGGCATGATGATATATATATGATGAAAAAGCTGACCCAATGAACTTGAGGACCCTGCCATCCTCATCCTTGATGGGGGCAACGGTTAGGAGGTTCCAGAATGGTGTACCATCCTTCTTGTAGTTGAGAATACGACCACAGTAATTTGACCCAGCTGCGAGAGCCTGCCTGATCTTCGAAATCTCTACGGGGTCGGTCCCAGAACCTTGAAGGAAGCGGCTGCAGTTGAGAGATGGTGGAGGCATAAGTGCAGTGCGTACTAGTTGGAGTTGTATGTAACTATGCATTAAATTGAATTGAATTGGCATGGAATAGAATAGAATGAAATGGAATTGAAATCGACGAACCAGTTCCTTCCGACGACCTCATTGGAGGAGTAACCAGTCATGTTGAAGAATCCAGCACTGGCGTAGAGGATGGGGTGGTCAGGGCGGGTGGCATCGGACACGACGAAGGTCTGTTGGAACGCAGAGAGTGCGGCGCGGAGCTCCTCCGACACTCGGGGGAGTGCTCTACCAGCGGCGACCCTCTCGTCGATGGAGTTTCCACTCTCGCTGGTGCGGTTGGAGCCACCGGAGGGGCGGGCGACGACGCCCTGGGGACGGCCGGTGTGCTCGTCGGTCTGGAGGACAAGGCCCCACTCGGCGGCCCTCTGTGTCGCCCGACCCACGTCAGCATCCTCATCATCCCCGGTGAGGCTAGGATGGGAAGCAACTGCAGGAGGGAGGAGGAATGGGGAGGTGGTCGCCCGATTTGAAGCGGCGGCAGCGGAGTCTGGATTGAAGACTTCGAGGGATCCGCGGGAGTCACGCGGAAGTCCTGCACCACACGAGATTAGTGTTGTTCATCTACCACATGAATGAAAAATCATAAATACTAATGCCATCTCTCTTCTCATTAAGATATCTATATTTACGATACAAACACATGTCTAGCAAAAAGTAGAGCCAGGAGAGGCTTTGCACAAACGAGGTACAATAATTTGATTTTTATGTATATATATGTCCGGATTATGTAAAAGGTCTATATCGTCTATCTAGTAGCAGTAGTAGTGACGATTTCCATGTGAGCATTGCATTTAATGATAGAAAAGAAAAACCATATGTTTAAGTCATTGCTAGCTCTCTGGATAGGTTGGGTGTTTGCCAGTTGGATGCACATATTTGCAGGTGCGTGCATGATGTATGCATATGTAAAGTTAGCTCAGGTAACTACAATAATGCTGGTCGGAATTTTTTCCATCCCTCTGTCCCTCTCTGTCTATGCAACAAAGCTACGGGAGTGTTCGGCTGACGGTCTTCTTTGTTTTTTTAGCTGGAACAATATTTTTTTCTCACTATTTTTTCAGCTGCTACAGTGAAAACCAGCTGCTACAGTGCCCAATTAATGCCAGCCGAACACTCTCTGTGTATTCGGTTGCAATGCACGAATATATTTACTAGTTAAAAAGAAGGTAAATAAAGGAGAGAGATGCTTGTTGATGGATGTACAGGATCGAACAAATTGTACAAGATCGAGTAAAGATGGAAAAGGATGTATGCATGTAAAGACGGAAAAAAAGCATATGGGTGCATGTGAGAAAGACAGCAGTACTCACATGCTCAGGTAGATACTAGTACTCCGTAACAAATTATTAGATAAAAGGAAGGTAATTATATGAGGATGGTATTAATTGGTGGATGTCGTCGTCCAATTCAAGTCAAGGGGTGTTTGATTCGAGCTACTAAACTTTAGTAGCTACTAAATGGTTTAGTCACTTTTAGTAACTCTAGTGTTACTATAGAGGACTAAAACCCTTTTAGTAGCTTTTAGTCATAGCGTTTGACAAAAAAGTTATTAAAGTGACTAAAAACTACTAAATTTAGTAGCTACTAGGTGAACCAAACATGCCCTAAGTCGTGCACACGTGTCAGAAGAAGCAATGATGAATTTGGAGGATGCTTGACAGTGGCCGGCCGGCTGGGTGACTGGGTCGCATATATTGGATGATGGATCGGATAAGGAAGAATTTTCAGAACCAATCAAAAGGAAGCTAGCTAGCGCTATCTGGAGTAGTACCAAATTTATATATTCTGAAGGGAAAAAGGGAATGAATCTAGCTGATGACCAATGTTAATACATCTATAAATAAGCCCAATATATATTATGATTAATAATCTATCGAAATTAAGTTAGGATGCAGGAGTATATTATATATATTCATCTGCTATGAGTACATATTACGTACTCATAAAACCAGTAGTTTTGGGCCTGTTCGCTGGTTGGTGCTGGTGCTGGTTTGGGCTGGTTGGTGCTGGTTTTTTGTGAGAGGAAAACACTGTTGGCTGGCTGGTTTGGGCTGGCTGAAACCAACAAGCGAACAGGCTGTTTGTGTAGCTAGCTTTGCTAGAGCGCTGAAAGTAAATTACTACCCCCTCGACTGTAAATTGTAAGCCGCTTCAAGTTACCACTTTGTATATCTAGGTGCGTAGCATAGTAATAACTATGTACCGAGAAAAGTCAAAACGACACGACATAATTTAGAAGAATGGAGGGAGTCGAGCAGAGCAGAGCAGCTTGCAGTTGCAGAGGGCATGCGTGATACTATCTAATTATTACATTACAGGTATAATAAAATTCTCAGATAGATGCATCATCAACAAGCAATTAAATAATTAAATAATTAGTATACAGTATCTTTAGGTACGTACCTTTGAAAGCCGCCATTGATAGATAGATGCAGTACTAGTATAGGTCGTAGCTAGATAGATGTTTACTTGCCACTCCGGTGGGTGGTGAGCAGATTCGGATATGGATCGATCGGAGCAAGCAGCAAGGCTGTCGTCGGTCGATGCTACTCCGCCTGCGCCCGGCGTCTCTGCTGCTGGTGAGTACTGGTGCTGCTATATAGGATCGGATCACATAGGAGCATGGCGGAGTGCCTAGCTTAATTGCTTGTTGCTGATTGGGATTGTTTTGGCATGGGGATGCGATGGCGGCCCAGCAACTAGTAGCTAGCTAGAGAGTGAGAGGGAGAGAGAGAGAGAGAGATGAAGCAAGGACAGCTAGGCTAGCATATGCAGACGAGATGGATAAAATACAGACACACAGAATCGAGCCGGCCACTGCACCGTACCGATCCAGGCCAGCCAGGAGATTGATATTGATACTTACTAGTAATTAATTCTCTTCTCTTTTCTTCTCTTCTACAGTAGTGAGATCGAGATGATGCAGTACTACTGTTTCTGTCTCCCTCCCTCTATCTGTATGCAACTAGCTAGGTGGGCATGCATATACCGGAGACAGCGATGCATGTGCATCACGAAAGACAATGAGATGAGATGGATACAGATGGCCCTGCCCAGCCCATGAGAGCACGCTAAGAGCGAAAGCAAGGAGGCATCGGATCTGACGCCAATGACCACGACGTACGCGCTGCCTAGCTCAAGAAGCAGAGCACATGGCCGGCCACACTTCATTATCTAGATACAAGATTGTTTAATCCTTCCAACCTGATATACCTGCACCCATGCATGTGTTTCAACTTTCAGCCACACTTCATTCATTCACTCATCGCTCTTTCAGTGCACATAGCCTAATAAGGCCAGTCTAAGTGGAGAGTTTCATTGCGTTGTTTTCAAAATTGCCATGTCATACAGAATGGAATGAAACTTAGATGAAATATCCACTCTCAATGCGCAGTTTCATTCATTCCATGGTTTCGTGTAGACATTTAATTCTAAGACTCGTATAGAGTTGGTAATCATGCCAAGAGAGTTTTATCTACCATGAAACTCATTTATTCTCTCTTTTCATTAAAGCATTGCCATGTCATCAAAAAATACATACGTGGCAGGCTATTAAATGTAAATGAAACTCTAGTGAAACTCCCACTGAGGCTGGCGTAATAATCTTCTTCCTAATATGTTCGTGTATCGAAACATGCGTGCATGCAGCATGATTCCTAAGTACTCTCTCCATTCCAAATTATAAGACCTTTTAACATTTTCTAGATACGTAGCTTTTACTATACACTTATGTCTAGAACTCTAGATGCATATATAGTAAAAACAATGTATCTAGAGAAGTCAAAACGTCTTATAATTTGAAACAGATCGAAGGGCATACCAAAGAAATAAGTTATGGGGAGGTTCTAACTGCTATGTGCCTGAAAACTAAATACAAAGTTCTTTTGATGGATTCAGGCCATTAGATCACGATCAAATGACACTGGGACTAGCTTTCTTCTTCTTCCTCCTCACAACAACATTTCTAATGCGTTGCACTGGTCTCCTTGCTTTAATTTCCAACCTCCTCCAGCCACGACTAGGAGGGCAATGGGCCCCGATCCCTGACGGGGAATTCATCCATTAGAGGATGAAAATGGGGTGAATTTAATTTGCTAACGGGCGAGAAACCAACCCTGTCGAGTGAAGCGGGTGTGAGGGTGTTCTCCAACTCCTCGTAGAGGAAAAATTAGGTGTGCGCATCACACAACCATCCTCTCTCCCAACCTCAACCGCCATCCTCCTCCGACACTGCCTTGATCCCCCTCCTCTCCTAACTGGTGATGTCACTGGTGGACGGAGGAGCGGGGAGCCGGTCCTTTCTCCTTTGTAGTTTTAGGTTAGGTTTGTTGATCCTTGTTGATCTAGGGTTTGGTTTTTGCATTTCATTGGTTAGGGTTTGGTTTCTAGTGTCACCGGTGAGGTAGTGGCAACGATGGTACTTTGGAATAAGGTATCTCTGATCTATCCCTACCTCTATGACATTCGATCTGGCATCGGGGAAGGTCTTGTGAGAGTTTGGTCTACGTTAGATTTGGCGTCGGGGAAGGGTCTATTAGAGTTTGCTTTGTCATGTCTATTGATCTTCTTCAGATCTTGGCATTTGGTGTGTCTATCAGGCAAAGCAATTGGTTGGCTTTTGATGTAGTGATCTTGACCTCTTCTTTTGGTCTATTTTATAGCAAGGTCATCATCCCCAACACTTTGTTTTGATGGTGTAGGATTGTAAGCCTACATTCTTTCGAGGGTTCCTCTAGTCGATGTTCTTTCAGTAGGTTCTAGATCTCGTTGTCAGCGGCGAGTGGCTTATGTGGTCTTCAAAGCCTTGTCCAACGAGTGTGTTTCTAGGTGTTCCTTTTCTTTGTTGTCTTTTTAGTGCGATCTTTAAGCTTCGGTAGGCAGTGAACAATCGTAGGAAGAAGATGACTATTTTGGTTTTTGACGTACTCTTTCTAGAGGTTTGTTTTTGTGTCTTGTTGTCCATCGTTTTGTGCTACTAGTCTTTGTTTTCCTCAAGATATATCAGATGTGAGACACTCTATCGAGTGCTTTTAAAAAAAAATACATCCGCACATACTCCTTTAAACCCAAGGGATTGAACTAGTAGAACTTAAGATTTACGAAGTCAGTGGTGAACCTAGAAGAAAAATAAGTGGGACGTACTCTAGCCACAAGCAAGAGCAAGAGAAAGCAAAAAGCACATAACACACAAATTGCAATCGCACAAGGTTACAACAAAACAAGATGAGAACAATAGTGTTTAGATTATACCTCTAATTTGAAAAATAAATATAATTGTTTTTTAAGGTGTAAATATTGTTCTTGCACCAAACCACTCAAAACACATTAAAAATGACCAAACTTAAAGAATTTTATAAAGATCAACTTGGGAGTACATAAAATTTAGTTGTCAAAATCACTTTATGCAAACTAAAACACAAAAGAAGTCAATTAAGGAGGGAATTCATCAGAGCACTAAAGAACTGACCTTAAAGATGCCATCTATGGAACTTTACCACTAGTCTATGAGTCCAGTGTTGATCATTAGGGTTTAAGAAATATAAATCTTTAATAACGCTAGATGATGCTAAATGCTAATAAACATTGCAAGTACTACACTATGGATGGCTTGCATTTATAACAGAGCAGTCACGATAAAGTTGTTTGGCATTGTATTCTCAATTTTTTTTCCAGATATTTGTGATAGCAAGCCCATATATGCTAGTCACCATTAAGGTAGAAACAAACCAGCATGGCACCATCTTTTGCAGCAGCATCTCGAACACGCTCAGTTCCATCCAACTGAACCCCAATGAAGTATTGAACATCACCCTAATCAACCATCAAATTGGATGCTTCTCAAATCACATGAAATAGTTCCAAACCAAATATCTAGGTAAAAAGTTTCATATCTCTTATTACGGTACCTTCTGATCACGCATAGGTTGCAAGTGAAAGAGGTTCCAGAATTTTTTACCTGCTCAAAACCACAAGAAATTTTAGTTTGATTCATTACTATAGGAAAAAAACATTTGCACATTATTAGCCTCTATATGCCTGCAGTACTAATGCAGTAACAGAACACTAGAGTGATGTACTATTATAAATGTTTGGGGTATAGAAATTGCATCATGATCTTACAAGAACATGGAAGCATGTGAAGAGTATGTACCACTCTTTGTATAATTTATCAGCTGAACGGTAACTTCTCTTTGGTTATCTATGGCATCTCTTATCTTCTTTACTGTCCCACGGTCAGTTTCAGGCCCTTGAAGAAACCTACAAGGGAAGCATAAATAAGTGAAGGGATTCATTAAATCATTAGTCACTGTAATATGTAGTTTATGAACAGTTGAAAGCAATGAATTTAGGTAATATTTAATGTCATAATTTACCTGCAATTTCTTCCCAATATTTCTTCGCGTGAATACTCTGTTAGTCGTAAAAAGCTATCCGATGCAAAAATCTGTGACATTCACCCGAAAATATAATGACGTAGTTCAATGGAAGGTTGATATCTATGTTGATAGAAAGAAAAGAACAATGATGTTAAAGGTAGAAGATATATGAGTTTTTGTCTTACAATTGGATTATCCGGTAACCTCGGGTCAGTGATGACAAAATTCTTTTCAATACGTTCAAGCGTAGTAGCCAAATCTATACCCCTTCTCATTTCTTTCCTCCTAAAATCATCATCAAAGCTTTCTGGTCTCTCATCATCGCTATCAAGTAGCGTATCTTCCCTTGGTTTTAGAATGTTCTTCTCCACATTTCCATGACCCATACCAATAAGACTGCACAAACGAATTAAATGTGAGAACAAATGCAAAGATAATAGAGACTCTACAAGGAAACTTTGAAATAAAGCAAATGCTATGATTATATCATGTGGTTTATTATCATACCCCATAAAGGAACGCAAACCAGATTTCCTGGTCTTATTCCCTCCTTCAGGCACTTCACTAATTTTTTGTAGAGAGTTTCTCGTTCCACTCCGTGAGTTACGGCGGGATCCACTTTCGGAGCTTCTCTTGCCGGGTACTTCATCACCTGAAAGCACATCTCCTGATTCCTGTGATTTCCTTTTTAAGGTATTGTTTCTTGATTCTGACAATGACCGTGGATCCTTCAGGGCAAGTAGAAGCTCCGAGACTGAGCTACGGGCATGATCCTTCTGTCTTGCTGCAAAGAATATTATTGTTTTCACAGTCGTGCAAGGTAAAACCTTTTTTTTTTTGAAAAGTAAGCAAGACTACTAGTAGTAATAGTACCATCATATTTGATGAGTGACTCTGGCAATCCATTTGGGCGAAGAGCTGTATCCTTGCTACCTTCTGTGTACTTACTCACTTCCACTTGCATCCTGTGACACATTGCACACCAAGGTTTGTAATAATAATAACTATAGTGCTGAACAAAACTATAAAGTGGCATGATGATATATATATGATGAAAAAGCTGACCCAATGAACTTGAGGACCCTGCCATCCTCATCCTTGATGGGGGCAACGGTTAGGAGGTTCCAGAATGGTGTACCATCCTTCTTGTAGTTGAGAATACGACCACGATAATTTGACCCAAATTGCGAGAGCCTGCACTGATCTTGAAATCTCTCTGGGTCGGTCCCGAAACCTTGAAGGAAGCGGCTGCAGTTGAGAGATGGTGGAGGCATAAGTGCAAAGTCGTACTAGTTGAGTTGTATGTAACTATGCATTAAATTGAATTGAATTGGCATGGAATAGAATAGAATGAAATGGAATTGAAATCGACGAACCAGCCCTTCCGACGACCTCATTGGAGGAGTAACCAGTCATGTTGAAGAATCCAGCACTGGCGTAGAGGATGGGGTGGTCAGGGCGGGTGGCATCGGACACGACGAAGGTCTGTTGGAACGCAGAGAGTGCGGCGCGGAGCTCCTCCGACACTCGGGGAGTGCTCTACCAGCCAGCGACCTCTCGTCGATGGAGTTTCCACTCATTGGTGCGTGTTGGAGCCACCACCCAGAGGCGGGCGACGCACGCCTGGGACGGGCCGGTGTGTGCTCGCCGGTCTGGAGGACAAGGCCCCACTCGGCCCTCTGTGTCGCCTGACCCACGCCAAGATCCTCATCATCCCGGTGAGGCTAGGATGGGAAGCAACTGCAGGAGGGAGGAGGAATGGGGAGGTGGTCGCCCGATTTGAAGCGGCGGCAGCGGAGTCTGGATTGAAGACTTCGAGGGATCCGCGGGAGTCACGCGGAAGTCCTGCACCACACGAGATTAGTGTTGTTCATCTACCACATGAATGAAAAATCATAAATACTAATGCCATCTCTCTTCTCATTAAGATATCTATATTTACGATACAAACACATGTCTAGCAAAAAGTAGAGCCAGGAGAGGCTTTGCACAAACGAGGTACAATAATTTGATTTTTATGTATATATATGTCCGGATTATGTAAAAGGTCTATATCGTCTATCTAGTAGCAGTAGTAGTGACGATTTCCATGTGAGCATTGCATTTAATGATAGAAAAGAAAAACCATATGTTTAAGTCATTGCTAGCTCTCTGGATAGGTTGGGTGTTTGCCAGTTGGATGCACATATTTGCAGGTGCGTGCATGATGTATGCATATGTAAAGTTAGCTCAGGTAACTACAATAATGCTGGTCGGAATTTTTTCCATCCCTCTGTCCCTCTCTGTCTATGCAACAAAGCTACGGGAGTGTTCGGCTGACCGTTTTTGGCTGGCTGGGTCTTCTTTGTTTTTTTAGCTGGAACAATATTTTTTTCTCACTATTTTTTCAGCTGCTACAGTGAAAACCAGCTGCTACAGTGCCCAATTAATGCCAGCCGAACACTCTCTGTGTATTCGGTTGCAATGCACGAATATATTTACTAGTTAAAAAGAAGGTAAATAAAGGAGAGAGATGCTTGTTGATGGATGTACAGGATCGAACAAATTGTACAAGATCGAGTAAAGATGGAAAAGGATGTATGCATGTAAAGACGGAAAAAAAGCATATGGGTGCATGTGAGAAAGACAGCAGTACTCACATGCTCAGGTAGATACTAGTACTCCGTAACAAATTATTAGATAAAAGGAAGGTAATTATATGAGGATGGTATTAATTGGTGGATGTCGTCGTCCAATTCAAGTCAAGGGTGTTTGATTCGAGCTACTAAACTTTAGTAGCTACTAAAAATGGTTTAGTCACTTTTAGTAACTCTAGTGTTACTATAGAGGACTAAAACCCTTTTAGTAACTTTTAGTCATAGCGTTTGACAAAAAAGTTATTAAAGTGACTAAAAAACTACTAAATTTAGTAGTAGCTACTAGGTGAACCAAACATGCCCTAAGTCGTGCACACGTGTCAGAAGAAGCAATGATGAATTTGGAGGATGCTTGACAGTGGCCGGCCGGCTGGGTGACTGGGTCGCATATATTGGATGATGGATCGGATAAGGAAGAATTTTCAGAACCAATCAAAGGAAGCTAGCTAGCGCTATCTGGAGTAGTACCAAATTTATATATTCTGAAGGGAAAAGGGAATGAATCTAGCTGATGACCAATGTTAATACATCTATAAATAAGCCCAATATATATTATGATTAATAATCTATCGAAATTAAGTTAGGATGCAGGAGTATATTATATATATTCATCTGCTATGAGTACATATTACGTACTCATAAAACCAGTAGTTTTGGGCCTGTTATTTTGGTTGGTCTTTGGTCTTTGGTTTGGGTTTTGGTTGGTCTTTGGTTTTTGTGAGAGAGAAAAAACACTGTTGGCTTTTGTTTTGGTTTTAATTTGGCTGAAACCAATGTTTAAAACAGGCTTGTTTAATAAGCTAGCTTTGCTAGAGCGCTGAAAGTAAATTACTACCCCTCGACTGTAAATTGTAAGCCGCTTCAAGTTACCACTTTGTATATCTAGGTGCGTAGCATAGTAATAACTATGTACCGAGAAAAGTCAAAACGACACGACATAATTTAGAAGAATGGAGGAGTCGAGCAGAGCAGAGCAGCTTGCAGTTGCAGAGGGCATGCGTGATACTATCTAATTATTACATTACAGGTATAATAAAATTCTCAGATAGATGCATCATCAACAAGCAATTAAATAATTAAATAATTAGTATACAGTATCTTTAGGTACGTACCTTTGAAAGCCGCCATTGATAGATAGATGCAGTACTAGTATAGGTCGTAGCTAGATAGATGTTTACTTGCCACTCCGGTGGGTGGTGAGCAGATTCGGATATGGATCGATCGGAGCAAGCAGCAAGGCTGTCGTCGGTCGATGCTACTCCGCCTGCGCCCGGCGTCTCTGCTGCTGGTGAGTACTGGTGCTGCTATATAGGATCGGATCACATAGGAGCATGGCGGAGTGCCTAGCTTAATTGCTTGTTGCTGATTGGGATTGTTTTGGCATGGGGATGCGATGGCGGCCCAGCAACTAGTAGCTAGCTAGAGAGTGAGAGGAGAGAGAGAGAGAGATGAAGCAAGGACAGCTAGGCTAGCATATGCAGACGAGATGGATAAAATACAGACACACAGAATCGAGCCGGCCACTGCACCGTACCGATCCAGGCCAGCCAGGAGATTGATATTGATACTTACTAGTAATTAATTCTCTTCTCTTTTCTTCTCTTCTACAGTAGTGAGATCGAGATGATGCAGTACTACTGTTTCTGTCTCCCTCCCTCTATCTGTATGCAACTAGCTAGGTGGGCATGCATATACCGGAGACAGCGATGCATGTGCATCACGAAAGACAATGAGATGAGATGGATACAGATGGCCCTGCCCAGCCCATGAGAGCACGCTAAGAGCGAAAGCAAGGAGGCATCGGATCTGACGCCAATGACCACGACGTACGCGCTGCCTAGCTCAAGAAGCAGAGCACATGGCCGGCCACACTTCATTATCTAGATACAAGATTGTTTAATCCTTCCAACCTGATATACCTGCACCCATGCATGTGTTTCAACTTTCAGCCACACTTCATTCATTCACTCATCGCTCTTTCAGTGCACATAGCCTAATAAGGCCAGTCTAAGTGGAGAGTTTCATTGCGTTGTTTTCAAAATTGCCATGTCATACAGAATGGAATGAAACTTAGATGAAATATCCACTCTCAATGCGCAGTTTCATTCATTCCATGGTTTCGTAGACATTTAATTCTAAGACTCGTATAGAGTTGGTAATCATGCCAAGAGAGTTTTATCTACCATGAAACTCATTTATTCTCTCTTTTCATTAAAGCATTGCCATGTCATCAAAAAATACATACGTGGCAGGCTATTAAATGCAAATGAAACTCTAGTGAAACTCCCACTGAGGCTGGCGTAATAATCTTCTTCCTAATATGTTCGTGTATCGAAACATGCGTGCATGCAGCATGATTCCTAAGTACTCTCTCCATTCCAAATTATAAGACCTTTTAACATTTTCTAGATACGTAGCTTTTACTATACACTTATGTCTAGAACTCTAGATGCATATATAGTAAAAACAATGTATCTAGAGAAGTCAAAACGTCTTATAATTTGAAACAGATCGAAGGGCATACCAAAGAAATAAGTTATGGGGAGGTTCTAACTGCTATGTGCCTGAAAACTAAATACAAAGCTCTTTTGATGGATTCAGGCCATTAGATCACGATCAAATGACACTGGGACTAGCTTTCTTCTTCTTCCTCCTCACAACAACATTTCTAATGCGTTGCACTGGTCTCCTTGCTTTAATTTCCAACCTCCTCCAGCCACGACTAGGAGGGCAATGGGCCCCGATCCCTGACGGGGAATTCATCCATTAGAGGATGAAAATGGGGTGAATTTAATTTGCTAACGGGCGAGAAACCAACCCTGTCGAGTGAAGCGGGTGTGAGGGTGTTCTCCAACTCCTCGTAGAGGAAAAATTAGGTGTGCGCATCACACAACCATCCTCTCTCCCAACCTCAACCGCCATCCTCCTCCGACACTGCCTTGATCCCCCTCCTCTCCTAACTGGTGATGTCACTGGTGGACGGAGGAGCGGGGAGCCGGTCCTTTCTCCTTTGTAGTTTTAGGTTAGGTTTGTTGATCCTTGTTGATCTAGGGTTTGGTTTTGCATTTCATTGGTTAGGGTTTGGTTTCTAGTGTCACCGGTGAGGTAGTGGCAACGATGGTACTTTGGAATAAGGTATCTCTGATCTATCCCTACCTCTATGACATTCGATCTGGCATCGGGGAAGGTCTTGTGAGAGTTTGGTCTACGTTAGATTTGGCGTCGGGGAAGGGTCTATTAGAGTTTGCTTTGTCATGTCTATTGATCTTCTTCAGATCTTGGCATTTGGTGTGTCTATCAGGCAAAGCAATTGGTTGGCTTTTGATGTAGTGATCTTGACCTCTTCTTTTGGTCTATTTTATAGCAAGGTCATCATCCCCAACACTTTGTTTTGATGGTGTAGGATTGTAAGCCTACATTCTTTCGAGGGTTCCTCTAGTCGATGTTCTTTCAGTAGGTTCTAGATCTCGTTGTCAGCGGCGAGTGGCTTATGTGGTCTTCAAAGCCTTGTCCAACGAGTGTGTTTCTAGGTGTTCCTTTTCTTTGTTGTCTTTTTAGTGCGATCTTTAAGCTTCGGTAGGCAGTGAACAATCGTAGGAAGAAGATGACTATTTTGGTTTTTGACGTACTCTTTCTAGAGGTTTGTTTTTGTGTCTTGTTGTCCATCGTTTTGTGCTACTAGTCTTTGTTTTCCTCAAGATATATCAGATGTGAGACACTCTATCGAGTGCTTTTAAAAAAAAATACATCCGCACATACTCCTTTAAACCCAAGGGATTGAACTAGTAGAACTTAAGATTTACGAAGTCAGTGGTGAACCTAGAAGAAAAATAAGTGGGACGTACTCTAGCCACAAGCAAGAGCAAGAGAAAGCAAAAAGCACATAACACACAAATTGCAATCGCACAAGGTTACAACAAAACAAGATGAGAACAATAGTGTTTAGATTATACCTCTAATTTGAAAAATAAATATAATTGTTTTTTAAGGTGTAAATATTGTTCTTGCACCAAACCACTCAAAACACATTAAAAATGACCAAACTTAAAGAATTTTATAAAGATCAACTTGGGAGTAATAATGAAGTGACCATGTGTCTTGAACACTTATGGACATTACAAGAACAAACATACCACCAGTAGAACATTAAGCATGTCTAGTTCTTCTACATTTCAACAAGTTCACTTTTCAGCCTTCCATGGCTTAAAAATATCTTAATTCTTTTTAAAGTAAACTTGATATTTTATTATTTAGCTAGGTAAATACTACCCCGGAATGCCAAAACCACAATTTCAATGGCCATATTCCGTATCCTATAAGATAACTCATCGTATGTGTCCTAATTTGTTTTTACATAAATTTGCTTTACTCCCTACTTCTCATCAGTTCTTCAAAAATATATCTATATGAAGTTTGCCATTTTTTTTCTATTGATAAAATGTGCATAATCATTTCGCTAAGAGAAGTACACTGAACGAGAACCACTTTGAAGTCATGACTTCTTGGCTTGTTAGTCCTTCATATACTATGGCCTAGGCAACATTTCGTTTATGATTTCCTGGCTTGTTGGGCTTCAGCCCACCATGGTCCACATCAGCCCATACAACCATACCCCTTTAGTGCCTTCTTCTCACCTATAGGGTGGGTTCATCTTTGTCAATTGGCCCTGTTCGTCTGAGTGCCGTGCAGCAGCCACGCTATACTTGATGATAGACGCGGCGGCAGCCACAACAGCGCTGTCTTAAATGTAGGAAAAAGTGATAATTACTCATGTCAAAGCAAGGATTTCAACTCAGGAAGGCAGCTATGAAGGAATTCGATGAGTGAAATTTGTGAGTGTTATTTTAAGCTTGGCCACGGGAGCTAATCCTATCCTTAGTTAATCCTTTGTAAGTGTGAATTTATTGATGTCAAAAGTGCACATGTACACTCTTTCTCTCTTACGTTAGTTAATGAAGAAAACTAAGATTTAGGAAAGTTGTCTTGAAAGTTATAGAAAAAGTACTAGTGTCATTCCAAGGGCTGTTAAGCGCATATTTGACATCCTCGAGGCACAGAGTGCAGAGTACAGCATGAAGGTTTCTTTTCTTGAGCTGTACAATGAGGAGCTCACTGACCTTCTAGCCCCGGAGGAATCTAAATTGTCTGATGACAAGTCCAAGAAGCCTATCGCACTCATGGAGGATGGCAAGGGAGGAGTCTTTGTTAGAGGGCTCGAGGAAGAGCTAGTTTCTTCAGCTGCTGAGATCTACAGGATACTGGAGAGAGGCTCTGCAAAGAGAAAAACTGCTGAAACTCTTCTCAACAAGCAAAGCCGCAGTCGCTCACACTCTATTTTCTCTATCACCATCCATATTAAGGAATGCACCCCTGAGGGTGAGGAAATGATCAAGTGTGGAAAGCTTAATCTCGTTGACCTTGCTGGCTCTGAAAACATATCTAGGTCTGGTGCTAGAGACGTAAGTGGGGAGCTCCAGTTTCCTTTTCCACTTGCTTTAATACCATGATCTTGCACAAGTGAAGAATACTTACATAGTTGCCATCTGTTTTTATAGGGGCGAGCTCGCGAAGCAGGAGAAATTAACAAGAGTCTGCTTACACTTGGGCGTGTCATATACTACCGGATACAGGAGCTTTGCCGAGTGCCAGGGGCACTCGGCGAAGCCCAAAAACACTCGGTAAAGGGTTTACCGAGTGTTACACTCGGCGAACAACACTCGGTAAACTTGTTATCGGCAAACACTAGTTTGTCGAGTGTTTTTTGTCGGCCACTCGGCAAAGACGTTGCCGAGTGCAAAAAAACACTCGGCAAACTTTTTTTTCAAAAAAATAAAATAAAAAAGGCACGCCGACACCATGCCCGCACCACCAGCACTGTCGCCGCCACCACCATCCATGCCGCCGCCACCATCCACGCCTGCCGCCGCCGCCCACACCACGCCGCATCCCTCGTCACCGCAGCAGCGACGCAGCCATGGCACGACCGCGGAGCCCCGAGCTCAACCCGTCTTGGCACAGCGGAAGCTAGCTCTCTTGGCAACCGCTGGTGCCGAGCCTCCATCCTCGATGCCGCTTCGTGCTCGCCACGACGCGGAGTTGCGGATGCCTGATAGTGAGCACCACCACCA